TTATAAAAGTTTAAATTTAGCATCGATGAAAGTGTATGCATTTAAGTATTGCCCAAAAGTTGCTTAAATTCATACTTTAAAATTTAATTACGGATTTAATCTGTATTAAAGTCTTAAAGCACTAATGGATAAGCAATGTATGAATGTTTGCAGCTTCATCAAATTTGTTTGCATCTGCTAACTCTGCCGTAAAGTTCAATGGGCTTAATTATAGAGAATGGTCCGAACAGATCCAGTTTACACTGGGTGTTATGGCATTGGACTCTGCCATACTAACTAATGAGGAGCCCTCAGCCATTACAGTAGATTGCTCAGAATCTGAAAAGTCTCGATATGAGAGATGGGAGCGATCTAACAGGCTGAGTTTGAACCTCATGAGGATGACGATGACAGAAAGTATTAAGTCATCTATGCCAAAGACAGAGAAAGCAAGGGAATTTTTACAGAAAATTAAGGAGTGTTCCCACTAAGATTTGGCTGACAAGTCAATTGTATGAAGCTTAATGAACGAGCATACTACAAAAAGTTTGACTGGTCTCAGCCAATCCATGATCATGTGACACACATGTCTAACTTGGCAGCAAAGTTAATGACCTTGGGAATGGAGGTTCATGAACAGTTCTTGGTCCAACTCATCATGAACTCTCTACCTTTTGAGTTTAGCCAGTTCCAGGTGAATCACAACACCATTAAGGATAAATGGAACTTTAAGGAATTAAAGGCTATGCTGGTTCAAGAGGAAGGGAGATTAAAGAAGATGAATGATCAAGTTGCGAACCTCGTAGGTCTCGGAAGTGCCAGCAGCAATAAAGAAAAACCAAGTGGAAAGGACAAAGGAAAGGCTTTCATGAAAGGAACTGAAAGTAAAATCCATAAGGAAAAGAAGTGCTTCTTTTGCAAGCAAATGGGACACTTCAAGAAAGATTGTCCGAAAAGAAAGGCATGGTTCGATAAGAAAGGTAAACATCAGGTTTATGTTTTCTCTGAATTGAACCTTATTGAAGTGCCTAATAATACTTGGTGGTTATATTCTGGTGCCACTACTCATGTGTCTCATATTAAACAGGGATTCAGTTCGATCCAGCCCATAAGAGGACCTGAACAGTATTTGTTCATGTGAAACAGGTTGAAGACAAGAATAGAAGGCATTGGAACATATAGATTGATCATGGACACTAAGTGTCATTTGGATCTTGAAGGGTGTCTCTATGTACCTGAATGTGCTAGAAATCTTGTTTCCGTAAGTAGATTGGACAATTTAGGCTTTGACTTTAGGGTTGGACATAAAGTTTTTTCATTGTACCGGAATGATTACTTTTATGGTAGTGCTACTTTGTTTGATTCACTATACAAGTTCAATCTTGATTCAAAGTTCTCTGAATCCCTATTTAATATTGAAAGTCGAGGCATTAAGCGTAGTGCATCTGATGAAAGTTCTGCTTTCTTGTGGCATCAAAGATTAGGTCACATTTCCAAAGAAAGAATGATAAGGTTGGTAAAGAATGAAATTCTTCCTCAATTGGATTTCAGTGACCTAAATGTATGCATAAATTGCATTAAAGGAAAGCAAACTAAGCATATTGTAAAGAAACCAGCCACTAGAAGCACTTGAGTTAATACATATCGATATATGTGGCCCTTTTGATGCTCCTTCATGGAGTGGTGAAAAGTACTTTATCACCTTTATCGATGATTACTCATGTTATGGTTATCCATATCTACTGCATGAAAAGTCTAAGTCAGTGAATGTCCTAGAGGTATTCATTGATGAAGTGGAAAGACAGTTAGATAGAAAAGTAAAGGTTGTGAGGTCAGATAGAGGTGGTGAGTTTTATGGAAAATTCGATGAAAGTGGACAATGTCCAGGTCCATTTGCAAAGTTACTTGAAAGGAAAGGGATTTGTGCACAGTATACAATGTCTGGTACACCTCAGCAGAATGGTGTAGCTAAGAGGCGGAATCGTACTTTAATGGATATGGTTAGGAGCATGTTAATTTATTGTTCTTTACCTATTTCTTTGTGGGTATATGCATTAAGGACTGCAACATATGTTCTTAACCGGGTTCCTAGTAAGGCAGTTCCTAAGACCCATTATGAACTGTGGACGGAAAGGAAACCTAGCTTAAGGCATTTACGTGTTTGGAATTGTCCAGCAGAAGTAAGGCTATATAACCCACATGAAAAGAAACTTGATTCTAGGACTGTCGGTGGATTTTTCATTGGCTATCCTGAAAAATCAGAGGGGTATACTTTTTACTGTCCTAGCCATAGTACGAGAATAGTTGAGACGGGTAATGCTCGGTTCATTGAGAATGGTGAAACTAGTGGGAGTGGTGAACCAAGAAAGGTTGACATTCAAGAAATACAAGTTGAAGTCCCTCCACTTGGTACTGTACCTAAGGTTGATGTTCCTATTGTTGCATCACAGTTACATGGCGCAATAAAACAACATAATGATGTACAAACCCCACTAGCTGAAAGTACAATTAATGAACCAGTCATATTTCAAGAAGAGAATAGTGAACCACAAGAACCATTACGGCGATCTGGAAGGGAAAGAAGATCTGCCATTTCAAATGACTATGTGGTTTATGCTATTGAAAGTGAATGTGACATAAGCATTAATGAAGACCCGAAGTCATTCCAGAAAGCCATGGAAAGTGACAATTCTGAAAAGTGGTTGATTGCTTCAAAAGAAGAGATAAAGTCTATGGATGATAACAAAGTATGGGACTTAGTAGAGTTGCCTAACGGTTTAAAACCGTTGGATTTAAATGGGTCTTTAAGACTAAACGCGACTCGAAAGGTAACATTGAAAGGTACAAGGCTTGCCTTGTCGCTAAAGGTTTCACCCAAAAAGATGGCATCGACTACAAAGAGACATTCTCTCCAGTTTCAAAGAAGGATTCTCTAAGGATTGTTTTGGCTTTGGTGGCTCAGTATGATCTTAAGCTTCCTTAAATGGATGTGAAAACCGCCTTTCTGAATGGAGAGCTTGAGGAAGAAGTATATATAGACCAACCTGAAGGGTTCGTGGCCACAGGAAAAGAACATCTGGTATGTAAGCTGACAAAGTCAATATATGGACTAAAACAAGCTTCCAGACAATGGTATCTAAAGTTCAATGATACCATCACGTCATATGGTTTTGTAGAGATCATTGTTGATCGCTGTATCTACATTAAGGTCAGTGGGAGCAAATATGTTATTTTAGTCCTATATGTTGATGATATTTTGCTTGCTGCAAATGACATGAGCATGCTACATGATGTAAAGAAGTATCTCTCTAAGAATTTTGAAATGAAAGATATGGGTGAGGCATCTTATGTGATCGGAATAAAAATTCTTCGAGATAGATTACAAGGATTGTTAAATTTGTCTCAGAAAGGATATATAAATAAAATCTTAGAGAGATATAAAATGGATAAATGCTCCGCAGGGATAACTCCAATTCAAAAGGGGAACAAGTTCAATAAAATGAAATGTCCTAAAAATGAATTGGAGCGTAAGGAAATGGAAAGAATTCCATATGCATCAGTGGTTGGAAGTGTGAACTATGTTCAGACATGTACTTGACCAGATATCAATTTTTGCTGTTGGTATGTTGGGTCGATATTAAAGTAATCCCGGAATTGACCATTGGAAAGCTGCAAAGAAGGTTCTCAGGTACTTGCAAGGCACCAAAGAGCACATGCTTACATATAGGAGATCCGACCAGCTAGAGGTCACTGAATATTCAGATTCAGACTATTCCGGGTGCGTCAATAGCAGGAAATCGACGTTTGATTATTTGTTCCTATTAGCTGGAGGAGCAATATCATGGAAAAGTGGGAAGCAGTCTCTCATTGCTACTTCCACTATGGAGGCAGAATTTGTGGCATGCTTTGAGGCCACAATTCATGCATTGTGGCTGCGGAATTTTATCTCAGGGCTTCAGATTGGCGACAGTATAGAGAAGCCGCTGAGAATTTATTGTGATAATTCCGCAGCTGTCTTCTTTTCAAAGAATGACAAGTACTCGAAGGGTGCTAAGCACTTGTCTGTCAAAGAAGAAGTACAGAAACGTAGAGTGTCCTTTGTGGCATGCACCTACAAGAAAGACATAACTTGAAAGGAGATCAGTAAAACAAAAGGTAAAAAAGACTTGATCTTTGATGTCAAAAAAAAAAAAAGACTTGATCTCAAGAAGATTGTTGGGCTTGGTTTCACCCCTCCTTGATCAAACCATCTCGAAAATGACCAAGTACCGAAGAAAACCGATTTAGCGAGAGCAGCCGCCCGCCAGACATGAACCGTGCCGACATACGAAACAAGTGAGCCGAGCCATGTTCATCAAGGCGAGTGGGCCGAGCCGCGGACAAAGACAGATGGGCCGAGCCATGAAGAAAACGAAGAATGGGCCGAGCTGTGCAAGAAGAGGAATGGGCCAAGCCGTTTTCTCCTGTGTTGGACCGAGCCGGTTGTTCAGATAGGCCGAACCGAAGCCTGGAAGGATGAAAACCCATAAAAACCCTAGGTGAAGTATTGTGACGGCAGCCGCACGAAGCGATAAGGAAATATACCGAAAATATCTCCCGAGATTCTTGGCTAGGCGGTTTAGAGAATTATTATAAATAGATGATTTACGCGATTCATTATGTAACTTTTGCAACCCTAAGCAATAGAGACTAAAGACTTTCACAGCAAGAAAAACATTCCTTCGATCTTACTGTTTTTGGTTATGCGAGTTTTGGCTCACACAATTTGGCGCCATCTGTGGAGAATTGAAAATTTCTTACTCTAAATCGACAGGACTTTAAGATCTGAAGAACATGGCGAGCAACACCCTCGACGATAACAACAACAACAGCAACAACGACAACGACGCAGAGAAGGACGCTCTACAACAACGGTGACAACTGAAACCCAAGAGGAGATGCAAAACATGATGGCTACGTTGATGAAGAAGATCAACGAGCAGGACAAAAGGAACGAGGCGATTACGGAAAGCCTCGACGCGATGACGGCTGAGAGACGACACCCGACTTGGAGAGCCGGAATCTCCGATCCGACAGATGGAGTCCGGAGACGTTTCGATTTCCCAACACCTGCAGGAGCCTCGGGTAGCAGCGCAAGAAACCCCTTGGCTCCACCAATGTTTTGTCCCCTTGGCGAACAGACTCCCGCAGCAACCCGAATCAACATGACTGAGCCGCCTCGACTCTGTCGGAACTCAAGGCGACAAGCCGACAAAGAGGAGAACGACACGATCGACATGGACACCCAAAAAAACGACGGAACCACGAATTTGCAACAAAACGGCTCAGCTCGGCGAATAAGCCAAGAAGAGCTCACCTCGGCACTAAACGGCATTCAGACTGATGAAGTCACCGACCCGGCTCACGACGACAATCCAGCTGAAGAAGAGGAAACCCTCGAATGGGTCGAGCAGGCAGAGAGCGAAGATGAGCCGAGGAGAGAAGATCAAGAGCGACTTCGCCAATCGAAGAGAATGACTCGCGCACAAACCCCCGAAATCGAAGAGCTGCGAGCCTCAATGGCTCGGACAGTGGCCGAGAAACGCGCCATGAAATCTCAAGTGCATAACGCGATGAGTGCCGCGCCTGAGATCGATCAAATGCTCGAAGAGATCCAGAGAACACCGTTCACAGCAAGAATCACGGAGGCTAGGATTCCCGAGTCCGAGAAAGTGAGAATCCCATTCTACGAAGGCACAACTGACCCGAAGGCGCACATCACAGCGTTTCGGATAGCAATGGGACAAGTCTTCACAAGGAACGCTGCCAATCTGACCGAGCGAGAGGTAGATGCCGGATATTGCCTGCTCTTCGTAGAGCATCTCAAGGGAGCCGCCCTCGAATGGTTTTCAAGACAGGAGCGCAATTCAATCGGCAGTTTCCAACAGCTCTCCGCTCTGTTCCTCAAGCAGTATTCGATGTTCATGGATCGAGGAACCTCCGATGCCGACCTATGGACACTATCCCAAGGACCGAACGAATCGCTTCGGGACTATATGGCAAGGTTCAAGGTGGTCGTGTCCAATGTAGAAGGAATAAGCGACAAGGCTGCACTCGAGGATCTGAAGCGGTCCTTATGGTACAAATCTGAATTCCGACGGCAAATGACCCTCAACACGCCAAAAACGAATCAAGACACCTTACATCGGTCGTCAGATTTTGTCGTAAACGAGGAAGAGATGAAAAATCTGGACGAGCAGTACGAAGCGATGAAAGCAGCGATCCGGAGCTCAATCTTGACGCACCCCTCGAAGAAAGGTAACCCATCAAACAACGCAACAACACATAGCTCGGAGGAACCAAGAAGCGGAGGCCCCCAGAACTATCAAGTATGCGCTGGACGCGGAAGAGGAGAGCCGTGCAGCAACACTTGGGTAAGGAGACCCACTAACTACGGCGAAAAGGCGTTCTGCGAGTATCATCAAACCTACGGGCATTCGACGGCGCAATGTCGTACCCTAGGAGCCAAACTCGCGGCTAAAATGGCAGCGGGAGAGCTCCAGAGCATGGTGAATCTTAAAGACCTCTTCCCTAATGAGCCAAAAGAAGGAACCAAGCCGAGCGGCGCGACAGAACCCGCAAATCCTCCCCAACGAGGCGATAACATCAAACGCGACAGGAGAGGTGAACGCGAAGAACGACCCGGGCCAAGACATAGAATCAACATGATCATGGGTGGATCTCAATATTACCATGACATTGTATCTTCCATCAAAGCCTATCAGCGCCGAGCCGAAGCAAAGGAGAATTGGACCGAACTGACAGATATCCCAAACACGGTGATCTCCTTCGCCGAAGAGGAAACGACAGGGATAGATAAACCACACACCGACCCACTATTGATCGAACTGACGATCAGAGACCACGACGTGGCGAGGATACTTATCGATACCGGGAGGTCGGTAGACGTTATCTTCAGGGAGTCACTCAGAAGGATGGGAATCGATCTCTCCGAGGTGACGGCAGTCCCTAAACCTCTAACCGGGTTTTCAGGAGAAACAACAATGACTATGGGCGCAATCAGACTCCCCGTGGCGGCCGGTGGAGTCACTAAAATCTTTGAATTCTCTGTCAGCGATCATCCAGCAATCTACAACGTGATTATGGGGACTCCATGGATCAAAGCAATGAGGGCAATCCCTTCCATCAAAATGATTTAGAGAAATCAGAAGGAGTCGCGAATGTGCTTCCTGACGGAGCACAAGTTGAGGAACCCTGTTACCGACGCACGAGCAGACGTAAATCGCAAGAAGCTGAAGACAGATCGAGAGACCGCAAACAAGATCTCAAAACTCTTATAGCAATTACAGATCGCGGAGAGCTGCAAAACGCGCACCAAGCCGGAATGCGATGCGGTGGACTCAGTGTGCATTGACGAAGTGCATCCAAAGAGGTGCGTCGAGATCAGAACTAAGCTAGAAGAGGCTCTGAAAAACGAACTCCTCTCCTTCCTCAAGAAGAATATCAAAAGCGGAAGATATACCAGGCATAAGCATCGACGTGACTTGTCACAAGCTGAACGTAGACCCAACCTTCAAACCTATCAAGCAAAAAAGGAGGAAGGTCGGGCCTGAACGAGCTAAAGCTCAAAGTAGGATCAATCACCGAGGCGAAGTACCCGGAATGGCTCGCAAATCCAGTGGTCGTGAAGAAGAAGAACGGCAAGTGGCGAGTCTGTGTGGACTTCACTGACCTCAATAAGGCGTGTCCAAAAGACAGTTTCCCTTTACCACACATCGATCGGCTCGTCAAGGCCACTGCGGGAAACAAGTTGTTGACGTTCATGGACGCGTTTTCATGTTACAACTAAATCCTGATGCATCCCGATGACAAAGAAAAAACGGCGTTCATAACCGAGCACGGGATCTACTGCTACAAAGTCATGCCGTTCGGACTCAAAAACGCGGGGGCAACGTATGAACGGCTCGTCAATAAGATGTTCGCAGATCAGCTCGGGAAAACCATGGAGTATACATCAACGATATGTTGGTCAAATCGATCAAAGAAAAAGACCATATCACACACCTACGATAATGCTTCGAGCAATTGAACAAGCACAACATGAAACTAAACCCGGCGAAGTGCAGATTCGCGGTCACCTCGGGAGAATTCCTCGGGTACTTGGTGACTCACCGAGGCATTGATGCGAACCCCAAGCAGATCAAGACATTGATCAAGATGCCCTCTCCAAGAACGAAGCGAGAAGTCAAGAGGCTCACGGGAAGAGTCGCCGCGCTAAACAGATTCATCTCCCGTTCTACCGACAAGTGTCTGCCTTTTTACGACATCCTCCGAGGAAATAAGAAGTTCGAGTGGGACGAGCGATGCGAAGCAGCTTTCCAGGAGTTGAAAGGTTATTTGGCGAGCCCGCCGGTCTTGGCAAAACCAGTAGAAGGAGAGCCCCTCTTACTCTACATCGCTATATCCGCTACGTTCGTGAGTGGGGTGCTGATAAGAGAAGAGCGATCCAAACAGAAACTAATCTTTTACGTCAGTCAGACATTGACCGATGCCGAGACTCGTTACCCTCAGATCGAGAAGGTTGCCCTAGCCGTCGTGGTATCGGCTCGCAAACTGCATCCATACTTCCAATCATATTTGATTATTGTACTCGCGACCCTTCTGTTGCGCTCGATCCTACACAGCCCGAGCCAAACTGGGCGTCTCGCTAAATGGGCCATAGAATAAAGCGAGTACGACATCGAATATCAGAACAGGTCGGCTGCAAAATCACAGGTGCTCCCAGATTTTCTTATCGAACTTCCGACCGAGGCGACGACCGAGCCAACTCTAGACGAAGTTTGGATGCTCCACGTCGATGGCTCGTCATCTAAACACGGCTCGAGAATAGGAATCCGTCTCACCTCTCCTACCGGAGAAATATTGGAGCAGTCTTTTCGCCTCAACTTCCACGCCTAGAACAACAAAGCAGAGTACGAAGCACTGATCGCTGGCCTACGACTAGCACAGGGAATCTAAGTTCGGAAAATAAGAGCCTTTTGCGATTCACAGCTCGTAGCATGTCAATTTAACGGAGAGTACGAGGCGAAGGATGGAAGATCGGGAGCCTACCTTAGATTAGTCCAAGATCTGGTATAAAAGTTTGACGAGTTCGAACTCACTCGAATACCCCGAGGCGAAAACACCTTGGCATAGAGGAGGTAGAAGGAGTTGCTTCGACCTCAGACCCGGATCTCCGTCGAACAATTCCAGTCGAATTCATCAAACGTCCAAGCATAGAGGAGGTAGAAGGAGTTGGACTGATCCATCCTCCCGAGGAAGAGCCAGAGAACGACGAAGCAACCGCTATGGAAGAAAACGCCTCGCTAACCGAGCTGGAGTATGGCTGCAACAAGGAGTGGCTCGGAGCTATCCGAGTCTACATAGCCGATGGAAAAGTACCATCCAACAAGTGGGAAGCCCGCAAATTGAGGGCTCAAGCCGCACGATACGTCGTCGTCGACGGCGAAGTGTTCAAATGGAGATTTTCAAGACCGCTAATGACGTGTTACGAGGGACCGGAAGTAAGAAAGATAATGCACGAGGTGCACAGCGGCGCGTGTGGAAATAATTCTAGTGGGAGGTCACTTGCGATCAAGATAAAACGACACAGTTACTTTTGGCCTACGATGGTCAACGACTGCGAGAAGTTTACGGCGAAGTACAAAAAGTGTCAATGGCACGCGCCTACGATCATTCAACCTACCGAGCTGCTATCGTCAATTTCATCACCTTATCCCTTCATGAGATGGTCGATGGATATAGTCGGGCCTTTACATCGATCAAAGCAGAGTCATTTTCTGCTCGTCCTTACATATTATTTTTCTAAATGAGTCGAGGCCGATTCCTACACAAGCATAAAGGACGCCCATGTCGTACACTTCATCTGGAAAAACATCATCTGCCGACACGGGGTCCCCTATGAGATAGTCACCGACAACGGATCCCAGTTCATCTCAACTCGCTTTCAAGCTTTCTACGAGAAATGAAAAATTCGTCTAAGCAAGTCTACGCCGAGATATCCCCAGGGGAATGGGCAAGCCGAAGCAGCCAATAAGACGATCCTAGACGGCCTGAAAAAAAGGTTCGACGCCAAGAAAAGAAGATGGGCAGACGAACTCGAAGGAGTCATTTGGTCGCATCGGACGACTCCGCGCCGAGCCACTGGAGAAACTCCATTCGCTCTCGTCTATGGAACGGAGTGCGTAATTCCCCCCAAGGTGGATTTCCTTGGGATTCGACGAAGACTTCTCTCAGGACAAGAGAGCTTGAATCATTTAATGATGCTGGATGAGCTCGACTTAATAAACGAAAGGCTCGACCAGGCTCTAATCCGAGTCCAGAACTACCAACAAGCAACAGCGAGATATTACAACAAAAATGTCCGAAGCCGAAGATTTAAAGAAGGAGAGCTCGGAGCCGAGAGGATTGTAGGAAAGCTCGGAGCAAACTCGGAAGACCCTTACAAGATTACAAAAGTAGTTCGCCTAGGAGTCTATGAACTTGCGACTGTAGCTGATGAAGCAATTCTAAGATCGTGGAACGCAATGCACTTAAAAAAGTATTATCACTAAGGCTACAACACGGTCAACATGAACTACGGGACGGCTTGATCCCTGCAAAGGGTACGTAGGCAGCCCGTCCTCGGACGGGTTCAGCTGTCCCCCCTCCTAAAAAGGGGGGGGGAGTGGGTACGTATACACATACCTTCATTAACTTAAAGATTTTAGCTCGTCGAGTTTACTATCTCTAAGATCATTTTCACTTCGGCTAGTTTTTCATTCATTTTAAACCAGCTAGTTTTTCATGTTCACCTTGGATTTTTAATTCATTCATTGTCACTTCGGCTAGTTTTTCATTCATCACTTGTGTACACTTCTCCTAGACTTTTACTTGTCCTTGCATTCACTTCGGCAAAACTTTCTGATCTATAGTTCCAAACACCTCGCCTCGTTGCTGGCCACAACGAGGCAACAATCACAAAGTTCTCTAAATGGACTTTTTACCACCTTTCCTAGGACAAGGGTGCAAGTCACATCCTCTATGGATTAAAATCAAGCGCGCTATACAAATTTCAGACCAAAAACGTATCGGTCACCACGGTTCGTCATTGCACACGAGATTGTAAATCGAGACTACATCACTTTCTCTAAAACCAAAACGAACTCTTAAAACCCGGCAAACGCATTCACCCTCTCGGGAAAGCCGGTCTGTAATCGAACTCTGATATCATCTCAGGACGTGGACCTTGGCAACCAGAGTTCCAAACTTAGCGCCTCAGACGGCCAAAACTAAATCCGACTTAAAATGCCTCGCACTGTCTCTTTCCTAACTCAAACGCCTCAGCACTAACGGTCGAAGGCATAAAAAAACGTTAATCTCTTTTGTAAGAGTTACCTAAAACAAGGACACGTCACAAAGCAACTCCCAGCTCGGGATTTAGACTTAAACATAATTTATACGATATCTAGAAAAAACCAATTATAACTTAAACAGCCTATTCCTTGATCCGATTTCCTATCGACCTTTCGTAACAGTCTGACCAGAAAAGAATACAAAAGCACTCTTGGCCCGGCTCGACAAACCAATTAATGACAGCTCGGTCGAACAACAGCTTCCTAAAAAGTTTCCGATCCGCTGAAGGCAAAAGTAACAATTCCAAAAAAATGACTAAGGGGAAAGATAGGTATAACCACTACCAAATCAATCCATCAATAAAATCAATAGTCAAGTGGATAAAGCCATCTAGGCGCCAATTACAAAAACACGCGAGTTCGAAAAGTGGATAAAGCCATCCAGGCACTTAGTACAAAACGCGAGAAATAAAAGACAAGGGAAGGAGGGGGAGAGTCAAGCTGCAGACAGCGTCTCTCGCTCGGCAAGGAGGTTCGAAAGGGCTGGCGTACCCGCGTTCGATCCGGTCGGATCTCCAACACCCAGATTAGCCGTTGTCTCCTCAATCGGCTCGTTACCCAGGCAAATATCTACAGAGTCTAGCGACACGGACGAGAACACTAGCTCACCTCGGATCTCAGATGCGATGCGCTCATACGCCTCATCGTCGACGTATTCACTTTCCCAACCTTTTAACTTCGCCTCTTCATCATCGAAAGTCGGGCCATCCGGCTTCCTCATGTCTTTGATCATAGCAAGGTTGCCC